TGCTGGCAACATTATGGCCATTGACACTCATTTGTTATTATCCTTCTAACCACCTTATGACCTATAATAATAATGATGGAAAAGTGATAGAATTGGTAATACAAAGGATTTACTGATAGATTTATTTAGGAGCCATAGTCAAGCCTGTTAGAGATAAGGAAAATTGAGCACTCTATAATGGAAATGTGTATTCACCAGGATGGACTAGCCATTAAGCCCCATTTCCATGTCAGAGAAGACAGTCCTTACTAACAGCCAACCATTATGCCCTGATTCCCATCGGCAAGGACATACCTCTAATGGGCAGCAAATGGGGTATAGAGCCACAACTATTGTTAAATTCTGGTCTGCTTTTAAATCTCTTGTGCCCAAAGACCTCAACTTAAAGTCATGATTTGAAATCATACTCCAGGGGCCAGTGAGACTTTTTGTTTTACCCATGAAATATTTTAAATTATATTTTAAATGTGATTGTCTTAAATTTTTTCAGTTACTGATTTTGAGTTTGGGTCCCATGTGGATAAAAAAATACAAACTGTATGACTTTAATTTGTCTCTTTAATGATGTTTATTGTATGATCCAGGATATCATCTGTCTTGTACATGAATGTTCAATGCAAATTTTTGTGATAAGCATAACTCAAATGCACACATAAATAAACTGAATTTTTAAAAAATTTTACTTAATACGATAGAATACAACTCATAAATTATTTTAAAAATGAATACAGCAAAGAAGATACATCACATAGCACAAATGACATGAATTATATTTATGCACAATTCCAAAAAATGAAGACTCTTCATTAGATACATAATTTTGAATAATAGGGTGAGTCATCTTCTCAGTATATAGCTCAGGCTAGCTTCAAACTTTCAATGAAGTCTAAGCTGACTTCTGTATTCCAAACATTAAAACTCTATGTATATGTACCACAATAGTTGGCTTTGGTAATCTTTTTCTTTCTTTACTAAGTGGATATTATGCCACTTCCTTCCAGCTTCCAGGGTTTCTAAAAGGTATCCACTGTCACACAATTTGCTGTTATACTTTTGCTATTTCCATTATTATGTTTGTCTTACCTAGGATTTCTATTGCTGTGAAGGAACACTATGACCATGACAATTCTTATAAAGGAACACATTTAATTGGGCTGGATTACAGTTTTAGAGATTTAGTCTGTTACCATCATGCCTGGAAGCATGGCAGTATCCAGGTAGATGTGGTGCTAAGAAGTGGGAGTTTTAAATCTTGATCTGCAGGCAGCTGAAGTAACTGTGTGTCACAGTGGACGTAGCTTGCATATAACAAAGCCTACCTCCTTACTGACACACTTCCTCTAACAAAGCCAAGCCTCCTATTATTGCCACACCCTTTGGGCATTAAAAAAATATGTCTATAGTGGCCATATTCATCAATCCAACACAATGCTGTACGTTGTTTTAATTTTTTGTTTTTTTGGGGGGTATATATGATGTGACTTTGTTGTTCTGGGTAGAGTCATATGATACAAAGCAAACACAATATGTTTTCAGTCCTGCTGTCCCTATTTACTAATTTTCTCTTTCTTCTGTTGTTGCTTCTTTAATTATCTCCAGGGTCTAGTTATCTTCAGGGAGATCTAAATGTACAATATGTTGTTCAAACTAGAGGCTTAATTATATTTTTTTTTGAAACCTCACTTTTGTGTCTGGAAAATCAATTGTAACTCTAGAGAGAATCTCAGAAAAACAGCAGGAAAAGAATACAATAGTCCAGGAAACAAATAGTTGTGATTTTTTTTTTGCCCTCTGTTTTGAGAAACTGTTTCATTCAGTAGTCCATGCTGCTCTGAAACTCAATATGCACTCTAGGCTGACCTTGACCAAGTAGCCCTTATGTCTCCGTGCTGGTAATATACACAAAAGTGAGGATGCCTAACATAACAACTGATTACGCTTTTAACTGAAGTTTGAACCAACAAAGATGTAAACAAATGACGATATTTTGGGTCCAGCAAGAGGACTCACTGGGTAAAGATGCTCATAATATGACTTCATTCCCCAGAACTCACAGTGGAGGGTGGAACCCATTTGTGAAAGTTGTTTTCTTACCTCCACATATATGCTTAATATGTGCTCCACAATGGTAATAAAACACAAAATAGTTGAAAAATAAAATATTTTAATGATGTCTTGGGGAGAAAGCAAACAAGACAACACTATTGTGTTGATGTTGGGACTTCTGGCTTGAAAAATGAACAGGATGAGAGTACTGTTTGTAATTATTATTTGCATACTTTATATTCCCAATTCCTCCTCATATCCATATTTGAAAGAACTTCAGTAAAAAAAAAATACAACATTTTCTAAAATACAAAGGCTCTAAGATTCCCTTATTTTTTAATTGGAGGTAGATATACTCACTAGGAAAAATCACATTATGTTTGGCTACAGAGATGGCTTATTGCTTAAGAGCAAGTACTGGTGGGAGGAGGAAGAATCAGGATCTGATGTCTCTTACCCTGCTCCACCTCTCCATGTACTCATAATTTAAAAAAAAATTTAAAAATAAGTCTTTTAAAATGCATCATGACATGCCTATATCTCCCAGCCTCACATATACAAACTAAGGACTTCTCAGTTACATGTAACTTGCCAACATTAATTGACTAGGTTCCTCAGAACAGTCAATTTTCATTAATCTCCATATAAACAATAGGCCAAAGAGGGGTTGTCTGCTGCTGCCACACCTAACACTTGAATTGGGGAAAACTGTTGTAAAAAAAGAAAAAAAAAACTCAAAGTAATGAAAACAGATATTATACAGGATTTACTAATATATTTGCTTGGGAAAGATTAAGTCACACAAGTGAAACTTAGCCTAAGGAGCACTACCTATAAAATAAAATATATATAAATAAGTAGTATGTTCACCAGGCCTGTGACAGATAAATAAATGTGAATGTTTATTCACCAGGACTGACCAATCATTGGGCCCTGATTACTATACCAAAGATTTATTTTTATGGGGCAGCTGGAGTTGGAGCAGCATAGGGTCATAGCCATATCTAAGTTCTGGTCTTCTACTAAGTCTTCTATGCTCCTATCAGGAAAAACAAATTGTGTTACAGGGAGCCCACCACAGAAGACTACTCAGACACAGTTTATATCCAATTGTCTTTATTCCACCCAGCTTGGTGGGGGGGCACTACACTCAGGTATTCAGGACTCAAATATAACACTGTAAATTTAGAGTAAGGGGTTTTTAAAGGCAAAACCATATCCTGCTTTGTTGTTCAGCAGCTGCAGTGAGAGGTTTCACATAAGCAAACAGTTTAACAAAAGCTAAGATAATCCATTAGCTGGAGGGGGAAGTTTACACAAGCAGGCAGATGAAGAGAAGCCAAGATAAATTAGCTGGAGCGTCTTGAATTCAGGTTTCTAGAACAGAGTTGGGTAATTTTCCACAGAGCTTGTCATGAAGGAGATCAAATTCTTATCAAACCCAAAACAGCTTCCTAAAAGATACATGATGGAGGAACCTCAGTACCATCTTGTTCTGTTACAATTCTGCCATGTAGAAAGGATGACCATAGGTAACAACTATTCAAAAATGAATAACGCAGGTATACTTAAAAACAATTATGGCAATATCTTTGCTTTGTAAATTTCCTACCTGCATAAGTAGCCAGACTTGCAATCTCCTGTTTAAATTGTTCAAAGCATAACCTTGGGTCAGGACAGAACAAGATTTGAGGGTAGTGTTTGTGGGATCCATATGCCTAAGGTATGTGTAAGTTAGTAAATTCTTCCATTCATTTCTAACTTTTATTTGGGGAATAGCCACAGACATGTGCACTTTTGTTAAGAGCCTTTATTTTATCTCTAAGAGTGTAGAGTGATTTCTCACTAAGAAGGCATATTATTTTTATAACAGGATAATGGGCAATTAATATGTTCCTCCACATCTATGTTCCCTAGATTTTCAGAAATTTTTCAGAAAGCCACTGACCATGGATGAACAAAATGCATTATTTTAGCCTTTGTTAGCTTCTCTGGCCTCTGACCTGCAACATTTTATGGGAACTGGAAACCAACTCTGTGGGTTGCTAACTAAGTAAACAAGTTGCTAGGCAACCTCACAATTTGAAATCAAGTGTGTAAGAAAGACAAAGAACAGTAGAAGTTTCCATGACAAAGAGAAAATAGAACCTTTTGGAATCTAAGAGATAAAAATTTGAGTCTCCACTCAATTTGCGGCTGAATCACCCTAAGTAAAATTATTTTATCTCCACTTTAATGAATTAAGGGGAATCCAATCCAATCAGGAATTACAATTATTTGCTATGTGTAAGAAGATCTCTATGCACCTTTGTTATTACCTTGTTTTTTTGTGTGCTCTTTTTTTCTCAACCCAGAGACTCTCTTTTATTAGGCAATCACTTTACCACTCAGCTATATCCCCATCCCATTGCTATTATCATTACTCTGCATGATGCCCCGTCTGTTCTCCATCTGCCATGTGGAAACTGTAGTGAGACTGGACTGTCTTACCCCATTCCTATTTTCTTGTGTGTGCTTTCTGATGAAAGTTTCAGAGAGGATTGAACATGCTGGCAACAAAGGGATATTGCTGTAACATACAGGAAGGAATGATTCTGTTCTATAAAGAGGTTTACAAATTGAAAACATTCCTCTCACTCCCATATAGCTACCCTCACCTACCAAATCACCATTCACACACCTACCTCTTTTTGCCCAGTGGGCAGGTATGGGGTCTTGTCTCAGTACCTTCTCTGGACACTTTTCTTGACATTCTAAAAATGGTTAGTACTCATAGAACTTCTCTAAGATGTTACCACTCTGATAAGGAGGCTTACTCTGAGAAAGCACACAAAACTCTAGGATCCACAAAGGGTGATTAGATCTATAATTTGCCTCCCCAGATTACTGAAATTATTTCATTTAAAATGTAATTCCACCTCTCAGTTTCCATGGGAATCACCAAAATCACCAAATTCAGTATTCCAATCTTTTAATAAGTACTTTAACAGACAAGATTTATGACTTCAAACATGGAGAAAACATTGAAAATTCCCTTCAGTACCACCGTGTAGAAACCTGAAGGACTGTTTTAACAGGTGTTTCTGGTTCCAGCGGTTGTAGATACTCATGACAACTACAACCCTTTCACTTACTTCTCCTAAATAGTCCATTGCTAAATATAATTAAAGTATAATTTGGATTCCCACTCCCTACCCTATCTCTCATTTTCCATCATGTCTGTGCGGTCCTTTATTTAGTTAGGGGTTATGTTTGTGGCTCATGATTTGCCCTCAATTACAAATATACTTTTCTAGATAGGTCCTGGAAATAGAAACCAAATTAGATACCTTTTTCTTGGTATATATTATGCTAGAACAATTACATTCTAGGAATGTCCATACCTTCCAGTACTGAAAAATGACATAGCCTAGCTGCTGAAATGTGTCTACAAAAGCATTTACCTAATCCTAACTGCCTCAGGTTACATGTAAAATAAAAAGTGAGAGCAATATGATTTCCATGTAAATAAATAAATAGCCAGATAATTTTGATTCCATCCTCTTTCTCTCCACTACTCCTATCCCTTGACAAAAGAGTGTGCTGCTAGTATAGGGCTTCCTGGGAGCATGAGATACATTCCAGATGTGTCTACTGAAGATATCTTCTGGCTTTGTCTATTACTGCTTCAGAGAAAGAAGCTTGAAGCTATCATCAAGAATGGACCTCCTGTTGCGTCGAAGCTTTCTTTGTCGATGTTGGTACCAGACTACACCACCAAGAGCCAGAGCAACAAAAAGCAGAATTACACATACAGCAATCAAAACAGAAGACAGAATTTCAGCATCCTTTATGGGGATCGTCATGCCCAGAATCTTCACATTGCCTCCTCCAAAGTCTCTTAGTATCACTGCTGAAATGGAGGAAGAGGAAAGGGACACCCATACATAAGGTTACCTTTTATAGACATCTCCTAGAAAATCAAGTCCATGAAAATAGGACAGACAACCTGTCCACATTCTTCAAAACAGCTGACAAAGATCGATTTTAAATTTATAATTAATAATTATAATATCACAGATGGAAACTCTCCTTGACAATCAGTGATGTACCTATTCTGTTTGACCGTTGGAAGAAGAGTCACTGAAGAATACTTAAAACTTTATGCTATAGAAGAAAATAAATAATTAGACTTGGTCTGCCTGGACTCAGAGGGTAGAACTAGGAGAAATAAGTGAAACTTCATGAAGGACATTGAGTCAATCTAACTTATCAATGTTCATTTTAGCCATTACTCTGTGACAGCTCACCACCAGGCTGTCTGGACTCCCACTTTGTGGAGCATGTTAATAGTACTTTCAGGTAGACCTTTTCTGTTGATTGTGACAGTTTCTCTCATACAAACATTCCATTGCCTTCAATTGATTTACAGGACAGAGCTCAGAATTTGAAGTCACACATTCCAACCCTCTCAGTCAGGCTCTAACCTACCTTTTTAATCTTATCTGCTATTATTCAACTACAGAAATAATCTTCATTTCCCATAAAAATATATCATAGTTTCTGTCTTTGTTCATAGTTCTTACTTTGATGAATACTTTCCTCCTTTTCCTCTCCTTTGTAGTTCCACGTTAAATGTCACTATCTGCAATTCATTTAGAACAATTAATGGTGCCTTCCTCTAGGGCTCCAAATTGCCTACATTATCTAATCTGTGACCTAGGGCTGAGTGACTGAATCCCTAGTGAATCTTAGTTTACCCCTTTTGTAAATTGTAGATAATGATGACCATGGATAACAAAAGGGATTATTATCAGATTTAAATGCATTAATAATATGCATGGAATATTTAGCATGGCACTTGGTAAATAGCAAATATACAGTAATTATAAGATAGTATTGCTGTTTACCATTTCTGTGCACAGCATCTAGCATTACAATGATTGTTTCTGTGTCTCATTCCATTTTTAGGCAATGGAAAGTAGCAATTATGTCTTATTTGTTTTTGTGCCCCTGGTAATTGACACTTGTTTGATGAATGCATAATTGGATGAATGAATGTTCCCACAGAACTGAAAGAAGATGCCAAGTAATGAGTTCAAATAGAAATTGAAGTGCATTCTGGTTCTGGGTTTATATTCTGGCATTTATTTTTTCTTGTGACCCTAAACAATCTTCCAATTTAGAAAATTAGTGACTTTTATTCAACCAATAATTTTGACAGTTTTTCCTCAAGTGAGATTTTATGAACAATACAAATACACAATTTATGTATGTATATACAAATATACACATATTACACTATATAGTCATATATATATATGTATATAGATAGATAGATAGATAGATAGATAGATAGATAGATAGATAGATAGATACTTACTTGAGTTGAAGGAAATATGACCTGAGAATTATCCTTTCAACCTTACGTTAACTTTCTCTAACCTCTCCAGGATAGCACAGGTCACTTAGGTAGATCATAGGGACTTTACTAATGAGAAGCTAGTTTTCAGTAGAGCTAAAAATCTCCAGAGTAAATTCATATCTCTCAATGTCCGTTTTATTGTTTTTTTTTTTTTTTTTAATCTTTAGGGACATGGTCTCACCATGAGTCTAAGTTTGTCTGGAACCTATGATTCTCCTGCTGTACTTTCCAAGTATGGTGATATTAGGTAGCACATACAGGTCTAGTAGTTCTTGTATTTCACACAACTTTTTGAATCTTTCCTTGCAAACGGCACAAATGGAGTAAAGAATGAAAGAATAATTTTAACCTAGGCATCATAAGAAAATAATCTTTTTCTCAAAGGGGAAAAAAATTGAATGGTCCCCAAGATACAATTCCTTGTTATTCTATAGATAAAAGAGAAAAGAATGAAAGTAGTTGTTGAAGGATGCCTGGTATTTTTCTAGTCTCATATTGTTCATGTAGGAATCCTTGGTTTTTTTTGCTACAAGTCTTTCAGACCTATCCTAGCAGGATTTGGAATTTTATTCTCCCTCATAAACAGTTTGTGAGCTAACAATAGAGCTTTCTATGTGGCTGCTTCCTCAAGTTCCAAAGGTTATGGGAAAGACACAAGGTGAATAAACATGTTGAAGGTAATAAATCCTAGTTCATTGGCTTCTGACATCTTACAAAATTCTTAAGGTGTTAGATTATAGTGCCCAAGTTTAGTCATGCTATTAGTATCACATATTACACACACACACACACACACACACACACGACATGCAACTTCTCAGTGTACACACATCATCCTACATACCTTTTCCAATCTCTTTGGTGATGGTAGTCATAGTACTTAAATGTTCTGTGGGAAAAGACAAGTGGTTGATCCTATTATTCTTTGTACCAATTTATAGGATTTCTGTGGGATCTTTACAATACTTAAAGCAATTTCTTTCTGGAATTTACTACTTTATTATGGTCTCTTTGTATATGATATCTGCTCTAAGCGAACAAGGGCATCTATGCCTACTACTTTAAATCTAGTCAAAAACCCACAATAGGGCAGATCATAGGTCCGGTGTGTTGGTGTTATGAAATACTGTTGTTTGGCAAATTAACATAGAATCAAGCCACCTCCTAAATAGTTACATTTATCCTTTCAGACATATGATACTCTCTCAGCTTTAATGAAAGGAGAGTGTTTCCTGTGGATAATGATGAAAGCAGAGGCCTATCACTGCACGGGTGCTCCACCCTAAACAACATATTTAAGCTATCCATGAGGAACACTGTGGAAGAAATGCCACAAAGAATGTAAGAGCTGGAAGATATGGAGAAGGGCTGCAAAATATCATCTCCTGAGCAAGACAAAGCCCCTGTAACCACAAACTCAAAACAGGTGTGGATGCCTGTAGTGTATCTGCACAAGAATGGCACTGTCAACAATAAAACACAGATGGATGAGGGGCTTAGAGTTCTCTTCCGCTCATGGCTTGACTTTGGTACAGATAGATTTGTGGAGAGTGAGAACCATTGCCTTCAGTTAAGTACCCACGGATGATCTCACCAGGCTCCAACAAATAGTTCCAATCCAATGGCTCTGATTAAACTGAATATCACAAAACCAACCAAAAAGTCATGAATCTGAGAAAGGTAATGATTGAGGGAAAAAGTAGTTAAAGTGAGAGAGAGAGAGAGAGAGAGAGAAAGCAGAATACATTAACAGACACGCATGAAATTGTCAGATAAGAAATGTCATCAGTAAAAATAAATATTAAAATGTGTTTGATTTTGAGAGGTCACAGGAAAACAAGGACAAGTGCATAGACCTACAAAGCCAAAATATAGCTTACCTGTATGCCTTTATTTCTGTGCTTCTTGTCACTTTCTCTATCCCCACTGAATACTACCTATTTCTCTTCCACCATGTCCCAATATCCCTTCAGAAATCCCTGGCTTTCTGTCAAATGTATTTGTGTACACATTCAATCATGTCTCACAATAATTTTTCCTTTCCTTTTACAGTGAATCTTAAATATTTTCTGAGGTATGTGCTATTCAAACATTGTTTTCCCCATTCTAGTAAAGATTGATTTCTTTTGAAGATTGCTTTGATTAGATAGAAAAACTAAACATTTCTTGTGACTGTTACTTAGTATTTCTCTTCATCCATGGAAATCATTGGTTATTAGTATAGTCTTTCTTAATCCCCTCCCAGGCATAGACTGTTTCATTCCAGTCACATGTAAAACTCCAGTTTTACCACTCATGGCCAGTCATGGTCATATTGGATCACTCCTCCATGTCTGCAGCACCTCAGAAATCCCAAACCTAACAAAAATCTCTCTTTTTTAATGGTTATTATTTTGTTAGCAAAATTCCTGTTATTCTCCTCAAATTAAATATTTTATTGCTAAACCACAGGACTTCCTTGCCTACCAATTTCATCCATGCCTTCTCTTCCACTAATGACTAGATAAGAATCCATGGTCTATAACTTCAAACACTTACATATGAAATCACAGTAACTGTTCTTGTCTTATATTTTACCCAGTATGCTGAATACCACCAGAAAAAAAAAAAAACATATACATCTAAAGACTTGGATTTTCTGTTTACTTTTAACTAAGCCCTCAATCCTATAAGGCATCAGTGAGTTTATTCTCCACCACAAAGTAGATATCTTAACACTTCTCTCAATTTCCTCAAGTAGTCCCCCCTCAGCAGATGACACTATAAGCTACACCCTAAAGGAACCAAGGGAACAAAAGGGAGAAAATCTGCTCATTATGAACTTCTACTAAACCTAAACGTTCATCCTCTTTTTTTCTGTCTTCTCTCTTATCACAATAGAAGGATTATTTTCCACCAGCATTGTATTAATCTTTCATCTTACATGTGGTTCATATACCTCATAGCTTAATCAGGATCTTTATCCAAGAAATAGACTTTTTAGAAATTGGAAACAACCTAGAGGTCTCTCAAAAGAATAATGCATAAAGGAAATGTGGTACATTCACACAATGGAGTATTACTCATCTTTTTTTAATGGCATCTTGAAATTTGAAAGCAAATGAATGGAACTAGAAAAAAAAATCATCCTGAGTAAGCTAACCCAGACCCAGCATGACGAACATGGTAATACCCATTTATATGTGGATATTAGCTGTTAAGTCAATAACTAAGCTATATTCCACAGACCCACAGAGGGTAGGCATAAAAAGATAGGTTTCATTAGAAAAAGGAAGTAGAACAGATAATTATAGATTGACAAGGATGGGGGGGGCTAGAACAGAAGGTTCAAGTAGCGACTGGATTATAGGAGTAGTATATAAGCCTAATACAGTAGAAACTCCTAAAGCACACATATGAAGGTGATCTAAATGAAATAGCTAAATAACAAGGGAGGAAGAGTCCTAAATGGACACCTCTTTTCCTGTACCAGGAATGGGATACATTTATCAGTTGGCCAAAGGGAGCCAATGGGAAGGCTGTTATCAAGCTTATAGGTTGCTCTCCACAAACTGATAGTAAGGCTCCACTGCTGAAGACAACACCTACACAAATCGTTGAACACTAAGAAGTGAAAATGAGCCTACATAGAGCCTTTACCTTTAAGTTCTATCTTCTTTAGCAAAGAAATGTACCCTGCATTCTCTCAAAAGAGAAATATAAACACCAACACAGCCACAAACCCTTTGATTTACAATGGTGTCTTGTCTGTAACATGTGCTAGGGCAATGGTGGCACAAACCTTGTAGAAGTAACCAACCAATAACTGATTTGACATAAGGCATACTCCATGAGATAGAACCCATACCCAATACCACCTGGGTAACCAAGAACCAAAGACAAGATAGCCCAATGACCTAGGAGAAAACTAAATAATATTGGTCTAAAAGAATAAAACAAAACAAAACAACAACAAAAGCATAGGGATTAAATAACTCCTAATGATATTCTTCTATATTCATAGATCAATGCCTACTTAGTCATTGTCAGAGAAGCTTCTGATGGGAGATGTCATTCTGTATGTTTCTCATACTGGTTAATGAATAAAGCACTGTTGGCCAATAGGAAAGGAAGATAGGAGGGACTGGGAGACAAGGAGGAAAGAGGAAGTAGGAAGGAGGGGTCAGCATGGAGAGACCGGGGAGACCAGATGCCTGCCCCATTCCCCGGTAAGGAGACCACGTGGAAATACATAGAAATGGGTTAATAATTAAGACAGAGCTAGCCGATAAGAAACAAGTAACTGGCCAACTGAATTGTATCTAATACAGAGTCTTGGTGTGTTAATTGGGGATGGCGCAGCGGCGGGACAAGACCAGCCTGCGGGAGAAAAAACCCTACTCCTTACAGGCTTCCTCCTACAGCATTTGGGAGCAAATATAATGAACCACAGCCAGACATTATGCAGAGTGTGGGAAATCTCCATCAAATCCCTTCCGTCTCAGAGCTCAGGGAACCCCAAGAAAGAGAAGGCAGAAAGAATGTAAGAGCCAGAAGGGATGGGGGACACCAGGAGAACAAGACCATCTAAATCAACATGAGTAAAGCTTATATGAACTCCCCAAAACTAAGGCAACATATTCAGGGTCTGCATGGGTCTGTACCATGTACTCTGAATAAATACTATGGCTTCTAGTTTAGTGTTTTTATAGGATTCCTGGTGGTATTAATGAGTGGGTCTCTGGTTATTGTGCCTTCTCTTGGGTTCATTTCTTTATGTTGGTTTGTGTAGTATAATTTTGTTGTGACAGTTTTTGTTTTATCTTATTATATTTTATTTTGTTGTATCTTTTAAAAAATGAATGAAGGGATGAATTGAAAACCTAGACACTAGGGTAAAAGTTAACAACTGAACACTCACTTCTGCTGTGAGAGGGAAAATCACTTTTCTCCAATGGAGTGACACTGGGTATATTGATCAGTCCAGGACAGGCCTCATGTTCAGGAGTAGTTGACCAACATAAAATGTACTTCATAGTTTTGTCTGTGTGTGTGTGTGTGTGTGTGTGTGTGTGTGTGTGTGTGTGTGTGTATGCATGCACACATGTACATGCTTTTATTTGGTTACAGTGTGGTGGGGTCTTTCTTGTTTTTTCTATTTGGGTGTTCATTTGTTTTCTTGTTTTGGGGATGGTGTTGTGTGGGGTGTTTACTTGTTAAAAGAAAACAAACTTAAAGTTGTGTGGGCAGGGAGAGGGAGAAGATCTGGAAGGACTTGAGGGAAGAGGAAAATATGGCCAAAATATATTTAAATTTAAAATTGTTTTAAATAATAAAAACATTAATAAAGAAAGAAGTTAGGCTTTTTCTATTTTCTTTAAGTCTTTCTTCTGATTGCCCTGTTAGTACATGTAGAGTTAGAGCGAAATTGAATCAATTTAAATTGAATAAACAAGCAAAATTTCAAACAGATTAAGAGTTATGGGCTAGATCTCAAATTGTAATTTGAGGTACTCTGATGATATATACTGAGATGATCTCACATTTTGGGTGGCTCATATATAAGGATAACTAATTGTAATGCAAGAAGAGAGCCTGTTTTATTGAATCTATAGCACTTTGGTGATGTGTCTTCTGGTCTGTGGTCTCAATAGGCAAAGGCAACTTCCCACTCTATGTCTTTTGATAGAGTCACTAGCTGCCACTCTCAGCCACTGCTGCCAGTCCAAAGCAGTATGATATATGAAAATAAACAAAGATACATACAAGTAACATTATATGAACTGAGCTGGTTATAATCAGGAAATTATGTGTGTACATATAAATATAAATTTGTGCATGCAAATAATAAAGAAAAAGAGGTCATGGCTTTGAAAAGCAATAAGAAGGACAATATGCAAGGATTTGGAGGGAGGAAAGGGAAGGGGGAAATGCTATAATTATAATTTCAAAAAAAGTTAAAATATGCATTTTTTTTTTCATAGAAGGCTTGTTGGAAGGGAAACAATGCTGGTGGCTGGGACACAGTTCATGAAGAAGGGTGAGACATTTATCATTTAACATACACACAGATAGTTCTGAAGAACTGCCATTGACAACTTTCACAAAAACATGTTTAGGGTATCCACTAGAATTATTTTCTTTTCTTTAGAAAAGGAGCCATTATTAATTGGGGGTAAGGATCAGTGAACATATTTGTGTGTGTGTGTGTGTGTGTGTGTGTGTGTGTGTGTATGTGTGTGTGTGTTGTATTTATGATCACATGTGTTTGTTCAGGTATGTGTGCTTATGCTCGTGCATTCAAAGGCTAGAGGAGGACACTAGATGTTTCTCTCTATTACTTTCCACCTTTGTTTTATTGACAGTCTTGCACTGAAACCAGTGCAAGCTGTTTGGCTTAGCTGAGGAACCACCGAGCTACCAGGATATTCCTGTCTTTACCCTGCAATGTCTGGGTTACAGGTATTTTGGTCTTTTATGTGGCTGCAAACTTAGGTTTTCATGCTTGCTTCCAAACATTGTTACCCACTCATATTACCAAGCCCACATATTTGTCTTTGATAATGAACACATCAAAGAAAGACTCACTAGTAATTTCCTTGAAGTAGCACTTCTATTATACTTTAAATGATGGATCTGTAAACTAATTAAGTAATTAATTTTTGTCAAAGGGCAGTAAATCTATAGTAGCAAAGCCCCCTCCCCCAGTTGCAGTCTAGCCCAGCTCACCCACTTGAACTTATTATGTTTGCAAGGGAGGATGAGAAATACAGCTTGGGGAATTGTCTAAACAAGGGCCTTATCTGTGATAAAACCTTGTTCTTCTGGGCCAGTAGGGAAAGTTCAAGTGGTTCCTTACTATCACCTAGTTTCTACGGGCTAGACATAAGATTAGAAAACAACACACTTGGGGGATTTCTGTCTTACCTTCATGAGTCAAGACAGTAAAGATTGTCTCCATGCCAGCATGAACATGGTCAGTCACATGGCAGTGCATCAGCCATGTCCCAGGGTTGCTGGCTACCATTTCCACAACTTCAAAGGTCCCTGGGAAGAGATCCACAACATCTGCCCGGTGACTGTGTCCATTCTGCAAGAAAGTTGATGGGGAGAAGAACTGAAAATTATAGGAATGGATTTACTTATTTAGATTCTTAAAAGTCTAAAATATCTGTAGCAAGGAGAAATGTCCAAGATCCATTTTATTTATCTCTCCTAGAATCTAATCATGCAAACTAAAACAACACAGCACTTTTTTCCTCCTACTTTTTCATAAATTGCTGCAGATGAAAGGTGTTATTAGTTCTTGTAGAGGGCTCAAACCTAGATTCTCTAAAATTTTCTATAAGCCAAAATTTGGAGAGCCTGAATTAATTTCTGATCTCTAATAAGGATCTACACATTTCCTTTAGAAGTGAATGAATTTAGCGAAGTTTCTCTTTTTTACTAAGACCCTGATCAAAATAGTTCTGGATCTCTCAGTCTAAAATGATGCCTCCAATTCTGTGCTCTTTTCCGACGATTAAAACATTCTCAGAATCATATATTGTTCTATGTTGCTCCTGAATTTGCACTCTTGCAGTGATGTATTAAAGACTTTCAAGGATTTTAAGAATATTTTAAATGCCTTGCTCTTAAAACCATTGTTCATTGAGTCTGAAGTCTTTGGCTCAGATACTGTGACACCGGTTCCTTCCATCTACTTGCATTTTCAATAGAACATTATCTTAGTTATCAGAAGGAAAAGCATCGAAGTGACTACCTGTGGGGCTCAACAATATTTCAGCTCACCTGATAGAGAAAACTCTCTGCATGGAAGTGCACAGTGTGAATGTCAGTATCTTGGCCCATGGCTAGCATGTACCAGGCTACCCGTTCTCCTTGGTATACAGTAAGACCTTTGAGATTAGCATAGAGTTTCCCATTGATGGCTGTAAAAGAAGAAAATGCCTGATATCTTTTCTTTTATTTACATTTTGCCACTGCCCTATGTCTATTTCCTATCATTTCTGATGATAGTAATATGCTACTAATTTACTACATCTCTATCTTCAATATATCTTCCACAATAATGATATCAGAGTTATCTCTAAGTAATTATTCTGACTATGTAATTCTGAAGTTAAAAAAGTTAAGGGCTCCTCCCTTTCATAAAGAACAACTTCATGGCTCTATATCTCAGCGAATAAGCTCATTTAAAATATACCTTCACACAAACCTTCCCAGATTCACCTCCTACTGTCAGTAGCATTGATTCCAATGAGTGGATTTTTTTTTTCACCATCATCTGCTTGGTCTATATATGTTATGTGAATCCTTAGATCTCTGAGTTTCCCTCTCATAAATATTGCTTCCTTATTATTTCTCTTTAAAAACTTGTCTCCTTAAGAAAACTTTTCTGATTTCCTAAGGTCTTCTATGTAACCTCAATTTCTTATATCACCTTCCCCTTTTGAACTCCTCCAGTACTCCTCAGCATGATTCATTAGAAATCTTCAAAATCTGTCTTCTGAGTTTATTTATCTTTTAAGGTGTGAAAGCCTATGTTGCCAACTTGTCTAAGGTTACTAATAACCAGGAAATATTTATATATTTATATACTACAGTGCTATAGCTTTCTTGTACATTTGTAGAACCACAAGCTGATAACTCAGACTACAATATGCATTTTTTAATTAACACATTCCCTTCCAAAGTCACATCCAATATTACAAAGACACACTATTCACTGTTACATTAACTCACATTGGTAGGATTTTATCCAAAATAATTTCCTCCCACATCTTATTTTCTCCCAGATGAGAGGTACTCTACTCTTCAAGAGGGAAAATAATGAAAGGAACAGGTACAGTATTTTTCTATGTCTACTAACATCAAATTGTTGATTTGGTAAAAAAAAAAAAAAAAAAAAAGAACCAAAATTGTTCAGCTCATCCACTTCTAGATAGTTTATCTCTTTGATCATAGAAAAGGGTGCTAATTGGGTCACTAATTGGTTATGGTAAGAGCCTGCCTCTCATAATGCAGAGAAATTTTGTTGTCCATTGATGTCAATGATAATTTAGAAAACCTATCCATTGCAAGGAAAGTATCAGCAATCATATTTAGTTATAAAATGAAATTCAGTTTTCCAATTAGCATTCTCACTAATAAGGGTCATATTTTATCTTAACCATTTATTTTTCTCAGTTGGTTCAGGAATGTAGAAGAGGGAAGAGGAGTTAAAATATTATTTGCTTGTCCTCTTGGACTGCAACATTATTTCTTGGTATTTATAGCAATAGTGCTCAAAATATGTTCAAAAATATCTTCTAGCTGGCTAGCTAGGTAGAGTGATATCTGAAGTTTGGAAAAATGGGCATCTGAGTAGATGAAAGCCATCATTAGCCAAATCCTGAACTGGGAGGACCTAACATTGCCCTCATTTCCTCTTTGTTCTAGCCCATTTTATTTCCTTGATTTGACAGAAACTATAAAAGTTCACTTTGTAAAGTTGTGAATCATCTGTTCTAGTGTGAATCACTCATCTTTCCATCAAGGGGAAATAGATAAAATCTGTAGGACAATGGGACACTACTTTTGAGTTCCATTAGAGTCATTATCAAAGCTGCACTGCACTCTCAGATCAAAGAAATCTTGAGTAAGAAGTGGTAGGGAGAGATCACTTCATACATTCCACTGCACTTAAGCCCTCCGTCTTACTCGTGACTCTCTCTCTCTCTCTCTCTCTCTCTCTCTCTCTCTCTCTCTCTCTCTCTTTCTCTCTCTCTTTATTTTTTTTGTGAAAAGCTACCAGATATCTAGAGCAAAGGCAGGCTTTGGTGATATAATTCTCCCACCTCAGATCCATTCAAGATTCAAAAAAATTCCTTATTGTATGCAGCATAAGCTCTGTGTTCTAATTCTCTGTGGCTATCTTTTCCAACTACTCCATGAAAATTTAAATTTTGCTTTAAAAGTAGTAAAAATAATAAGTTGTCCTCCATTTGTCTATATTGACAGAACAGATCCAGAATTTAAAATGGTGATTAAATATCATGCTTTTGAAAGAAAAAACAAATTCAGAATTTTGAAATAGAGGGGCACTTACAAGGTGGCTAATTATGTATATAAAGGGTCATATATGTACATGTTTCCTAATCTAGCCTGTTAAAATTTGCTTGTGACATGATTATAACTTTAAAGAGTTAGCATCCTTCCTTCTGGGCACCTCACCTAATGTGGATCATGTATCTGTTTTGTAAATTTGTGTATATAATAAAGATTTTTCTAAGTCATTCCCATTCCACTGTCCAATTTTCTCATCTTTTCCAGAATTATGCACCAATAGAGATGAACCTAGCAGATCATCTTATGAAAATAGTATGGACTACTTTGTAATAAGAATAGCTTCTTTTATACAGACCATGCATTTTATTGCTCTCCAAGAAGGTCTCATCCTGAATGTTTGTCTCCTGTGACCCATAAATTGCAATATTCTCCTCCAGATACCAAGACTGGTTCTCATCAAAGATCAAAAACAGCAAGGCAAATTCCCGGTCCATATCATTCCGACCTCCATAGTGTCCCAAGATGCCCTTTCGGCAGACAACTAAGGGTCCCACCAGACCACTATACATATCCTGACGGAGGGAGAAAGACATGAGGTTATTCCTAGACTGCAGTACTCTATAAAAAGTTGAATCACAATCCCTTAGCATTTCATCATAAATGCCTTATATTCTTAACTATGATACTCTGATTTCTAAATTCATTCCAACAGTCATTTAACACATAGTTGAGATAAGACATATAACTTATGCTTTAGCTAGATTGAATTATTCATTAATTTTTAAATATTTCAACTTAATGCCTTTTTAGGCAGTGTCCTCCTTCCAACATAATTATTATCTATGGCATACTCTCATTTAGATTTCAAAGTCCAGATTAGAGGAAGCTTTCTTTCTGATGGCTTCTCTACTTCCCTTTTGCTATATTGGATCATGCCCTTTGAGATACCATACATTTGTATCATCCATAACACCAAGAAAAAATACCCATAATAAAGTAGATACAATGTATTGCAGAGGACTTGTCATGATTAACTGGCTAGATAGACAAAATTAATTTTCCAGATTAGGAAACAGAGGCAGCATGACTTTATTATCGTTATTCCAAAGTCTCTCTAGTGCCAAATTTGTGACTAGGCCCCTAATTTCCTGACAACTATCCCCATTAAAAAAAAAAATGCGAGACCATACTGCTTTACATGATCCAAAAATGTTGAGAAAAAAAAAAGAAAAAGAAAAGAAAATCCTCATGAGAAGTATCTGGTGTCACATGTTACCTCCATTCCTTTTCCTTATAATTAAAATAAGGGAAGCATTTAGGGAAAGTTCTGCAAAACCCAGATGTTAACAGAACTGTGGTTGGTTGGATGGTTGGTAGGTTGGTTGGTTGGTTGGTTGGTTGTTTTTTGTTTGTTTGTTTGTTTTTAACTCCATTTTTTGTCAGTTTTGCCAGGTAGTTTGCCCATTTCTGGGATCCTTCTTTAAATATTCCAATTTTCTTTACCTTGATTGGATCCACTGCAGAATAATAAATCCAGGAAACACAAGCAGAGTCACTGGGTCCAGGACCAGCTCTTTCTGGGATGTTCCACTGGTAAGTATGTACTTCACCTAAGAAGGGAGCAAATACAACATTTCTCTCAATGTCTAAAGGCTATAGTGGTTGAGTCTCAGCACCCTAAGATCCCTTTCCATCATTCTCATACCAGGCACCATTTCATTTTTGTCACAATTTTTCTCCCTTCATGGAAATTACTCAGTATTGCACTTCTAGCCTGTCCATGCACAAAAGCCCAGGCCTAATCCTGTGGCAATGTAATCCTAGTACTGTTTTCACTAGCTACGATGTTATATCATTTGGGTTCTGTGTTCATCTTGTCTTTAGGCTGCTTCATCCTTAATGAAACTGTTTCCATAAACCCTGTCCTCACCTTCTTCCTTACTTTCAATTCCGTATGGAAGATCTATGTCTTGAAAAATCTTAAATAGTTCAAGATAAACCTACTTTGTTACTAAGCTCTCACACCAAAATTGTAATTAAATATTAGGCATCATTTTAATATTGCCCTAATAGCAGATAAAAATGGAAATTTCTATTGGTGGCTATAATTCTATGGTAGAGCATCTTAATATGTATGAAGCCCTAGCTTCCATCTTCAGGACCAAACACAACCTAAAATTGCTATAAATTTAATTCTCTTTTGAAAAGTAAGTCTTTTTTTCTCTCAAATTGTGCCTCTGATATTTAGAAATACATTCCTATTCTTCTAGTTGCTATAAACCAAAACTGTAGTTTTCTTCATCACTTCAACATTCATCTATTCAACATCCAGTGAAGTACCAAGCCTTATGAGTCTAACTCTATGATATATTTTAGCTTTTTAGATTTATTTTATTTCAAATTCATGTATATGGGGAGTATGTACATATAGTGCTAATGGCTATTTAGACAAGAAAGCACCATGACATCCTTGGAGTCATATGGCTGTAAGCTGCCTGGTGTGCCATTTAGGATCTGAATTCATGTCCTCTGGAAGAACAATATTTGCTCTTAACCATTGACTCACATATCTACATCTCTACTCCAGATACTTTCAAGATTCACAAGTAGATGCCATCAGAGATTATAACAACTGCTAAAAAAGAGGAGTGTGCAGGAAGCTCCAAGAATGCAAATTTGTTGGGTCAGGGTGAGGTTTTCAATTTTTTTTTTTAACTATCCAAGTTCCTATAAGAAACCTCTGCTCCATTACTGCTGCTTTAAGTACCCCAATAAACTCACCAGTTCATGAAGGTAGATTTGAATAGAGAGGTTCACTCAACCAATTGTCACTGCTCTATCTGTGAACAGACTCCCAAGAAATATCTCCCAAGAAATAACTAACTCCTAAAAAATCCCTCAGCCTCTAACCTTGCCTTTTCCAAATAACATCCGATTCTTCTCATATTGACCTTCTATAGCAACTTTATGGAGATGTTGTTTATATACTATACAACTCACTCATATCATACTATCCAAGTTTGATCATTGTATACCTGCATACATAGGATTATCATATAGTTCATAAATAATATTCAACTGAAATAACAGCAAAAACAATAAAAATATTGTACAACCAAATAATATACTTTCACATAGTTTTCTAAGTACTACCATAACCTATTTTAGAATAATTCTTTACAATCAACGAATCCCTAAATTCTTGTCACCCTGTAATCTACACACCATGCCGATGCAACCACAAATTTGTTTTATATCTCAGTTTGAACATTTCAAAATACAAATCTAATTATTTTGTTGTCTTTCACTTACTAATTATATTTTTATAATATTGTAATGGTTTATACATGCTGCCACACACACACAAAAAAAAAAACAATTGCTTTTTGTTGCCAAAAAGCTTTTTGTTGACATTTTATGGATATATTACATTTTATTCATCTACTTAACAATTTATAGATATTTGGTTATTTCTGCTTTGAGTGTAATATGAGTAACACTGACATTAAGGACTAAGTACTTTCCTAGCATGTGTGACACCCTTGGTTTAATTCAAAATACCATAAAATTGCTACTATCAATCATCATGCAGGTTTTTGTATGAAGTTATGCTTTCATTTGTCTTGGGTATACAACTTGGGATGGACTTATTGAATTATACAGTAATGTCAATTTTTAACAATTGGAAGAATTGGCACACTGATTTGCAAAACACTGGAATCATCAAACATCACAATGTAGATTCTACTTGCTCAATATTCTCATAAAACTAGTTATCTTTTTTCTTAATTTTGTTTTAATGAAGGAGATAGGCTATTCTAACGAAATTCTAATATGTTGTTCTCTCATATTTAATGATGTTATGAATTTTCTCTGGCCCTGGAATCCAGTTGCAGAGAGGGAAGTGTGATGAGCAAAGGGGTCAAGACCAGGCTGGAGAAACCCACACAAACAGCTGTCCTGAACAAGGAGGAGCTCATGGACCCCAGTCTGATAGATGCGAAACCAGGATAGGACTGACCCAGACCCCCGAATGTGGTGTTAGTTAGGAGGACTGGGCAGTCTATGGGGCCTCTGGTAATAGATCAGTATTTATCCCTAGTATACAATTGGACTTTGGGAAATCATTCCACATAGAGGGATACTCTCTCTTCTGCCTACACACATGAGGGACGGTGTCTGATATGACAGACTTTGAAGATCCCCCATAGTAGGTCTCTCCCTCCCTGGGGTTGGGGAAGCAGGGGAGGAGGGGAGGAAGAGGGAACTGGGGTTGACATGTAAATCTTGTTTAGAATTTAAATTTTAAAAAAGGAAAAAAAGAATTTTCTCTGGCATTTACTGGTATTTAAAAATACTTTTAGAGAGAAATATTTATTGAAATCATTTTCTCACTTATTTCTATGAAATGATATAGAAAAAATTGACAAAACAAAAACAAACTATCCAATAAAGATAAGCAAACCTTTGAACACACAATTCACTAAATATGATATAGAAATATAAATAAGAATACAAAAGACTTTTGTCACCATCACCTACCAGGAAAATAAAAAAAAAAAATTCAATGTTCTTGTTTTGTAGCTTAATGGTAGAATTTTCCCTAACATGCACAAGGACATGGTTTTGACTCCACCATCACTAGCAAAGTGCAATATTATGATTTAATAACTTCAACTAATTCTCATGTTCACTAAAGCTAAAGGCTATTAAACTATATATCATCTTGGAATTCATGTCCTCTGGTATTAGACCAACAGATGCTAAACAGAGGTGAGGAAAGCTCTTTGGTTCTATGTATTGTAGCTTTTCAAAATGAATTCAGTCTCAGTTATGTCCCAAGTGCTATTTCCTTTTGTAGCTCCATATCCTGTTCTTCTTAGTGACTCCAATGTTTACCACATTCTTCAGGTCTCACCTCACTCTCCAAAACTCATTTTCACTCAGACTTTACACAATAATGATAATGACATTGCCACATTCTTGTAAAGCACTCATTGCAATTTGAAATCCCGGAGTTTCAAAAAGAAACCTTTTTAGAAAGGAAGAGAAGGTCACAGACAGATGTTAAAGTAGCTGTCCAAATGCCACACATAGGACTGAAATTGAACTTATAAAGCCTAACTCTAGAATTCTGTTCCCACAATTTAGATTAATAACTTTTCCTGTCCTTGTGACAAAATATCTAATATAAACACCTTAAAGAAAGGTTTATCATTAGTCATGATTTCAGAAGGATTTATCATTAGTCATGATTTCAGTACATCATGAGTAGCAAGGAATAGTACAGCAAGCAACTTCCAATATAGTGGTCAGGAAGTAGAGTGAGGCAATGCCCTTTACTCAGAATGGCAGTATATAGGATGTTGCTTATACATCCAGAATAAGTCTTCCTGTCTTAATTTTTCTGGAAATGCCATCACAGACACACCCAGATGAGTATTTCACAAATTCCTACCAACTCTTCAGTTCAATTAAAGTGACAATAAAAATTAACCTTCACATACCACTCCGAAGGCTCTCATCTCTTGTACTGCCATTACCAATTCTAGTACCATATTTGTATTTATATCCATTAGTCACTCCAGTCTCAGATGAGGAAGTTCTCTTTTTCTGATATAAGATTACTACTTTCATGAGAGTTTCCAATGCCATTTCTTCTTGTGTATTGTCAGATTTACATTAATCCTCCCATCCAGATCTTTAAGTTCTCTGCTCATCCCTTTTCCCATATATGTCATGCTTAATTCTCTCCTAGCTTCTGTGGATCCCCTCAATTGCTGCTTCTCTCAACCTAATCATGCTTCCTTTATATTTATTTTACAGTTCTGCCAACATTTACTATTTCGATTTCCTCATGTCCTTTTTACTACTTAATCCTCTATCTGTTGATGGTACAAATGTGTCCCTTCCAAAATATTATATATTGAAGTCTTAACCCCTATTAACTCAGAATCTGACCTCATTTAGAAACATGGTCAAATTAGAAACAAGAGGAAACCAGTTTTAAATGAGGTTAGTAGGGCATGCCTCCAATATTATTCAGTATCCTTATAAAAAGTAGAACTTAAGGTATAGAGCCACACATGAAAAGAAAATGACCCAAAAGTAGAATGCCCTGGTTGTTTGTTTTTGACAACTTGATACCAGCTAGAGTTATCTGGGGAGAACATCAGTTACGAAACTGCTTCCATCAGATACTGACAAGTGTATAGAGAATTTACTTAATAATTAACGAGAGAGGGCCCTGCTCACTGTGGATTGTACCACAGCTGGGCAGGTGGTCCTGGGTTCTATAAGAAAGCAGGCTAAGCAAGCCATGGTGAGTAAGCCAGTAAGCAGCCTTCTTCCATGGTTTCTACTTCAGTTCCTGCCTCCAGGTTCCTACCTTGAGTTCTTGCCCTGACTTTCTTTTGTGAAAGAATGTATGTGGAACTGTAAGGTGAAATAAACTCTTTACTCCTCATGTTTATTTGGTCATGGTATTTATTAAGGCCACAGAAACCTAAAACAGAAATTGGTACCAGGTTCATGAGGTATTGCTGTGACAGACCTAATCATACTATTTTGTGTTTTGGAAGTGGAAGGACTTTGGAACTTTGATCTAAAAAAGCCATTAAGTGCTCAAAGCTTAATGAGCTTTGGGAGCTTGAAAGGTAAAAATGCAGAAAGAGATGCAGATGATGGAAGACTGGCATTTGCAGTTTCAGAAGGAAACAAAGACTCTCCCAGGGATATTTGTGTAATGTTTTATATTAAGAATCCTTGATTCTAGTCAGCTGGAGCTTAAGACTCATATGTGGTTAACAACAGTCTAGAACTACTGAAGTAAAATTTCTGCTTTACTGACACAAATGATACTGGTTCCCTGGGGCTGAGAAATAAGCTTTAGTTAAGAAGGGACCAGCATCATTTAAGATAAATCTCTAAATACTGTTTCCTCATAATTAAAACATAGAAACTGTGGTCCAGGATGACCAAGGCTGTATCTCATGCTGGCAGCCAAAACTGGTAATGTGCTAGAGTCAGGTGGTACTGGCTTTGAAGATATTAAGAGGTAATGGAGAACAGCTGAGGGTTGGCAATATGTGGCAGGGATGGGAGCCCCTGAAGAGAAGACAGGAGAGGTCACTGGTGAAGATTCATATGTAGTTGCATTGGAGACTCCAAAATTGTGGTGATAATAGTACTATTGGATGAACACCAAGGACAGCAGCAACTATGGCATGGAGCTGGCCTGAGCTCATGAGACAAACTGATTATGCTGTAAAAGACAGAGATGGATAAGGGAAATTACACAGGCCTTTGGAGCCCACAAGATTTTGATCCTATCCCACATCAAGCACTGAACTGTTTACAATGATGCATTTTGATTTGCTTTTGGTATGATTGTGACTGTACTCTTGTTATTCCCTCTTGGAGTATGAAAATATGCAACTTATAAGAGCCCACGGCTGAGCAAATTTAGACATTTATCCCTAGGTAGGTAGGTGATCCTATATGGTATAGGAAATCAAGTTGAGCAAGCCACAATGAGTAAGCCAGTGCACACTATTCCTGCATCAGTTGCTGCCTCTATATTTCTACCCTGATTTTACTCACTGAGGGATTGTGACCTAAGAGATCTAAGATGATATACCAACCCTTCATTCCCAGGTTGTTTTTGGTCATGGTGTTTAATACAGTGACAAAAAATTAAGGCAGAAAACAAGGAAACGATGGCTTTCCACCACTCAAAAAAGACTGAGGTCTGAAAAAAAAATGCCTTCCCTCACAAACATTAAAAAAAGAGGCAATCTTAAAGGAAACCTCTAGTCTCTAGCAACTTGAGACTATAAGATGTTTGTTGTTCATATAATTTGTAATATTTCTTTAGGCCACCCCTAGAAAATTGGTGCACCTTCCATATGATATAAATTAGTAATTAATTTGGATGTAGGTTATCGGACCCATGAACCACAGATTGAGGAGCCCACAGGTTAGCAAGAAGAATCTTTCCACAATATCTTTTGCCAAGAAGGAAGATAGGGTAGCTTAAAAAGAAACATATTTTCTCAGGGCTTAGGACCAGGGTGTTTGACATGGTGGTTTGAATGAGAATGGCCCCCATAGGCTTGAGCTAGTGGAACTGTTTGGGAAGATTAAGAGGTGTGGCCTTGTTGGAGGAGGTGTGTCATCTGGAACTGGCTTTGAGATTTTAAAAGCCTATACTGTACCCAGTTAGTGTTCTCTCTCTCTCTCTCTCTCTCTCTCTCTCTCTCTCTCTCTCTCTTTCTCTCTCTGCCTCATACTTGGAAATGAGGATGTAAGCTCTCAGCTACTGGTACTTCAAAACCATGCCTGCCTCCCAGCACTGGAGAAGCAGAAATAGGTGGATCTTTGAAAGTTTGAAGTCAACTTGGTTTACACAGGACATTCCAGATCAGCCATGGTTACATAGTGAGACTCCCCAAAAAATCAGAATTAGTACCTTGGAATATATCTAACCAAAGAAGTAAAAATTGCCTATATTAAAAACTTTATAACACTAAAAGAAGGATTAAAGCAAGACACTACAAGACGAAAATGCCTCCCACACTTATGGATTGGAAAAAATAATATTGTGAAAATGATTGTACTACTCTAGGCAATCTACAGATACAATGCAATCCCCACATAATTCCAATGTTGTTCTTCACAAAATTAAAAAAAAATAAAATTCATGTGGAGGGACACCCACAAAGTATGAACAATAAATACCTTAGATAGCCAAAGCAATCCTAAGCAAAAATAATCATCCTTGGTTGCATGTCAAACTGCACAGGCAGAGTTAGAAAACAGCATAGAGCTGTCACAAAGCAGAAACAGAAATCAGCAGAATAGAAAAGCCAGGTATAAGTCCATGTAGCCATAGTTACCAGATACCTGACAATAATTACAAAAACATACATTTTATAAAAGTCTCTTCAAAAACAATGTTGCTAGTAAAACTGAATAGCCACATGCAGAAGAATGAAATTATAACTCTGTCATGTCTTACCCATTGCAAAAACCAACCAAATTAAGCTAAGATTTAAACATGAACTGCTGAAACTGTTAGTACAAATAGTATGGAAAACAACTGAAGGCATAGATATATGAGAGGACTTTCTAAAATTAGATTGCAGTGGCTCAGTGAATAACACCAACAATTGGTAAATAAGATCTCATGCAATTCCAAAGCACGGAACAGAAAGGAAACAGTTGAATGAGTGAAACAACATGGTACAGAATGGTATCTATTAGTTGGATATCTGGCATGATTAATATTTAGAATATAAAAAGAACTTTAAAAAAAGAACGAAACCATGAGAAATCAAACATTTTAACTAATGAACTAACAGTTCTCAACAAATAAAATATTTTTAATAAACAAATAGAAACTGTTCAAACTCACTAGTCATCAAAGTACTACAAATTAAAACTACACTGAGATTCCATCTCATCCCAATACCAAAAGCAGTCATTAAGAAAACAGAAAAAGAACCAAAGAACCGGACAATCCTGGTGCTTGCCTTTAATTCCAGCACTCTAGAGGGCAGAGACAGTGAGATCTCTGTGAATTCTAGCCCAGTCTGGTCTACAGAGCAAGTTCCAGAACAGTCAGGGCCAGTACCCTGTCTTAAAAAAAAAAGAACCAAAAAACAAAACAAAAACAAACAAATAAATATAAAAGGAATGAAAGAAAGAAACAAAAGAAAACAGAAAAAGAAAGGAACCCTTACACACTTGTGGTTAAAATGTAAACTTGTCGCTATAGAAATCAGTATGGGGTGTTCTTCAAGAAAAGCATCCTGGGTATTTACTGAAACAACTCCAAATAAACTTATAACAAACATCCTTCCATATTTATGTTTTATCACAGCATTCTTAGTAGCTAGGTTATGGAACTAACCTAATGTCCAAGAAAGTGTTGAATAAGGAAAACATGGTTCATATACACATAAAGATGAACACGCTTATTTGCAGGAAAATACATAAAACTGGAAATAATCATACTAATGAAACTAAGCCAGAAATGCAAGTATTATATGCTTCAAAAATCATATATATGTACATATATGTATATGTATGTACACACACATATATATCCTAAACACATATAAGTAAAACTGTCCTGGAGAAGAAATGAAAAAGGAATGATAAGAAAGAGGAGAGTAAGTGAATATGGGGCAAATGTGCTCAATGTACAACAGTGTATATTTACATGAAATCATCAATACAAAATACTGTGCTATATGTAATGTATACATACAATAAGAATTTGAAAAATTAATGAAAAATAAATGTTAAATGGAAAAACTTATAAAGACAACTAGAGGACACCCTAAAATGAATTTTAAAATATATTCAAACTGATGAGATGCTATAGACACATTTATAGCTACAGATACCCACCTTAAGCTGGAAGAAAGATATAAAAGAATGGCTCAGATATCGTTTGACTATTACCTAATATTTCATATGCTCAAATTTACTTCACATTGTAAAGTAGTAAAATGGTACAGATTTGATGCAACTACATTTATATATATGGCTTTGAGGAAGTTATTAGGAATGAACACTGGAAAAAAGAGTCCTTTGGTTTTATGAGGAGACTAGACAACTACATACACATACACACACACACACATTTTCTGTCTGTGATAGTTTGTACTATCTCAAAATTCAAAGTCATTGCTGAATGGGGTTCTCAGACCTTATACTTGTAGAACTGGGAGCCAAACAAATCCCTCTTATTTATTAAAGTAGAATGTCTCTTGTATTTCTTTATAGTAATCAGAAGTTACATATTAATACACATAAACAACCTAATTTACAATCTAAGGAAGTTACACAGTAAATAAGTGAAGTACAGGAACTACTCAAAATACAAAAGAAACCCCTGCCTTCCACTCCAATTCACTAGTTAATTCCTTCTACCTTTCATTGAGCCACACTCCCAGACCAAGAATGTAAGATGTTTAAAGCAATAAACCAGAAGACTAAAGTATGACTCAAAAGCCTTTGTTCCTTCACTAAGTGTTCCAACTCACCAGGCTCAGCTGCCTGTGGCCAGCCAGTACTAGATTCTAGAACTCCATGGGCATGTATGGAATATGGTCGACTGGCATTATTCTTGAACACCACAGTTAAGATATCACCAACCTCTCCTCTGATAAGTGGACCTGATACATACAAAAGAAGTACAAGTTTCATTAGTAGGGGAAAGAAATAGGAGAAGTTAAAGAACAAGGCATCACTGCAAGATCCATAGAATTAGGAATTAATCTTCCCAAGACTAATAGACAAGCCTAGTACCGTTTTCAGATTCAGAAGTCCTAAAATTGATATTGCTACCCACAGCATGAGGGTACCTCAGAAACATAAGTATGCTTCCTATTATCCCCACTTTCCTCACCATATTTTTAACTACACAATACCCAAGAGCTCTAGACATTCTGAATTGAATTTTACAGAATCGTTAATGGCAAGGACTGAAATCTTGCTGTACATAGCACATAGAAAACCTGTACTCTCTTCAGAGGCCAGTCAGTCATGTCTGGTCTAAGCTGAGGCTAAAGAAACCCATCATATAAAAACAGCATATAGCCTAGATTAAACTGAGGCATGGGGGTAATTGTGTAACTTTTTTGTTTTTACTTGCTGGAGTTCCTAAATTCTCCTGCCTCTGGAAGTTTTTAAAAATCTACTTCCTACAGAGGATTCATGTCTCAAAAGGTGTAGAAAATCGAAACATTCTGGTGGCAGCAGAATTCATGCTTTCACCTTTCCCTTTGGTACTTATATTCACGTCCACTTTATAACATAGAGCCATATTTTAATAGTGCATATGTAATATCTGAGAATGAGGGGTGGGAAAGCAAGCCTCCCTGATATAATATAACTGTCCCAGGATATAAGTAGAATTCCCTTACCCAGGATTCCCAAGTGCTCCTCTGGTCCAGACCTCGGCTGAGGAATCCTGAAAGTACCATCAGTGTATTCCCTGAATACAGCTTTCTTATATCTGGAACCCAGGAGCCCATCCTTGTTGCTCAAGAAAACATGACCATAACTAGAAGAATCCAAAGACTGTTATTAATACCTAACCTTCAACCTTTATTTTCAGATATGAGGAAATTAATTTAGAATATTCTCATGTCAAATATGAAAAAAATGTAGCTCTATCCATTACAACGTCAAATTGCATTACCATGATTGAAAAAAGTAGGTTTTTGAAGCTACATTAGTTATTTTCCGTAATCCAAATAGATATTTGCAGTATGCCTAACTGAGCTGAGAATCAAAAGCTGTGGCTTTAGTTCTAGCCCTAACAGAATCTTAGATTTGAAATTAGTTTAACAAAAGGACAAGACACAGTGTCAGTTGAACACCCATAGTTGCTGTCTAAGACAAAAAGTGGGAACACATGTGCTCTTACATATTTATCATTATAGGGTTCTTAACAGTTGACAGTGTTTGTCATTCATTTTAACAGTGAGCATTCCAAATAGGTGGGGCTCAGAGGTACAATCACTAGCCCAGAATTGACAGGATTATGTATAGAAGCACTGAGCGTTAAATCCACAGTTCATACCCTTCCTTCTTCTCCCATAATGTTTTTTTCAGCTATGCATGATAGACGAAATCAGGGCTAACAGAAAAAAAAAAAAAAAAAAAAAAAAAAAAAAAAAAAACTTCACATTTCCTCACTCCTACAGAACGCTTGCATGAAGACTTCAACCTAAACTTATAATGGTCAAGAACTGACAAAAACACTGAAAGCATCACAAACTAGAGAAAATTATTATTAATAATATTTTGTAAGTCAGATTTATTCCACTCCTCCCTCTTTTTAGTAACAGGTGTTATTGGAAAACATTGCTATTCACAAAGATGTTACATGTAGTCATGTGAATAAGCTTAGAAAACAGAAAACAAGAAAAATTGATATATAAACTTACAGGTATATCCTTACAGGCAATGCTGCTTACCCTAACTTGAAAGCTGGGGATAGGCACAACTAAAACAAGCATTTTGGTCTCAGAGATGAAAGTACAAGATGAGGGTAGCTTGGGTCACCTGTCAGATCTGGACTTTCATATATAAATAACAGATAAAATTGTATCCTATTTAAACTACTCTGTTTTGAACTTTTTCTGTTTCCCATCTTGGTCTCTCCCTTAGTAAATGACCTTGAGGCATTCCAATGCTTGAGTAAATCCCCATGAACTTTAAATCCCACTGTAGGTTTTGGCTAATTAGAAGGGAAGCAAGGCTAAGAGGCCAAGAATGTAGCTAGGTTTTTTCTTTAGTTCAATGGCTAATGAATGTAGAAGAAACACGGAGCTGGATTTCAAGATCCCTCCATTCTAGACTCACATCAGCATAATATTTGGTGATTATGAAAAACCTCTCCTAATTTTGTTTCAGTATCTTCCCCGTGAAATGATTTGTTAAAGATGTGATCTCTCCTTTTCTGAAGTCTTACCTGTCCTTCTCAGATGTGTTGTGCCATTCCAGTTCCCAGCTTCTATCAGGACAATAATCCCACTCCACCTCTTCTGCCATTATGTAGTAAACTCTTGAAGCTTGGTAGTGTTGTCGTGGGCTGTTTTGATGAACAGAACACTGGGAGACATTATAAACTGCTGTCATCCCTGCTTTTCTGTGGCTGCCTGCTTGGCAATAGATTTCAAATGTCCCTAAAAGGTAATTGGAGAACAGAATCTGAGTGAGAATACACATGGAAGCATGTGGGGTTGTCTTCTCTTTTCCTACCTATACTTCAGAGGAAAGACAGTCTATGAAGAATCTCTTATTTACATTAAAGTACATTACAATTTGTTGAGACTATGGGCATTGATGGCACACATCTTTAATCCCAGCACTCAGGAGGCAGAGGCAGGTATATCTCTGTGAGTTGGAGGCCAGTCTGGTCTACAAAGCAAGTTCCAGGACAGGCTCCAAAGCAATACAGAGAATCCCTGTCTGGAAAAAGCAAAAAGGAATTGAAATAAAGAACACAGAAGAGGTCCAGTTCCAAAGCCACTGTGTTAATCATTAAAGTTTACCAGGAGAATAAGGAACTCCGCCAGGGTTGCAATATCCTTGGAAGCCCTTGTTCTTAGATAATGGGTAACCCTATTTGTTACTCATTAGCTATATAAGCTTGTACTGATTTCCAATGCTCTGTATGTTTCAGTTCCCTCCTCAGTAAATTGAGAATTGTTTTGGCTTACTCCATTTGGCTGGTTTACAAACAAATATTATATGGCTGGCAAGACTGCTAAGCAAGTCAAGGTATTTGCCCCAGGAGTCTGGCAATCTGATCTCAATCATTGAATTCACAGTAACAGTAAAAAACAAACTTCTAAAAGTTGTATTCTAATTTTCATATGTGTCATACCACACATGCAAACACACTCACCCATTCATATCTTATACAAATAAATAACCAATAGTAATTAATTAAGAAAGAAATACAATATATATCACTATGTGTACCAAATATTCAGTAAGTAAAATTATAATTAAAAATTTGATAGACTGTTTGATAGAAACTTTGACCTCTTTTTTTCCTATGAAATACCCCAAAACCCAAAAACCCTAACAACAATAAATGAACAAACCATGTGGATTTAAATAGATATTTAAAAGAAGCTGTCACATTACATGGATGCTTACATGATAGATGTTTTTCTATTTCTTTCTTCCTCCTTCCCTCCATCCCTCTGTTCATCTGTCACTATGTCCCTCCCTCTCTCCCTCTGTTCCTCTTTCTCTTCTCTCTCTCTCTCTCTGTCTCTCTCTCTCTCTCTCTCTCTCTCTCTCTCTCTCTCTCTCTCTCTCTCTCTCTCTCCTTGAGACAGGGTTTCCCTATGTAATCCCATTTGGCCCCAGCTGTCCTAGAATTTGTTTTGTGTACCAAGCTGGCCTCAAACTCAGAGATCCACCTGCCTCTGCCTCTCATGTGCTGAGATCAAAGGTGTGTACCACCACATTTGGCTTACATGATAGATCTTTTAAAGGTGGCATGTTAAGTTTTATGCCATGAAATGTTCAGATATCTATCTTGGATAAATATGATACAGAGCTAGCTATATGGACCTGTCTCTAGCCACAGGTTTCTGTGTCACTAACTCCAGCTCAGATTATGCTAATCAAATGGAGCTAACTATCTTAGCTTTATTATTTTCATTCTTCCCTTACCTTGTGTCCTATTGCCTACCCTATCACAAATAGTTCATCAATTGCAAAGCCTCTAATGAACTGTCCGTATACTATCAACCCAGCTCCATTTCCCCCACTCAATTATTTTGCTAAGTCTTTTTCTGACTGACTTCTTGTGTAGCTCATTCCTACCTTGCATTTTTCACTCATGATGTTATTCCTGTCTGAAATACATGTTCGTCCAACTCTCAAACTCTATGAGAACCTCCTCCTTCTCCAAGACCCAATTCATAGATTATTTCCTTTAGAAAGTCTTCCCAGATGGTTTGGGCCCTAATTGACACTATACTCTTGACCTTTTTATTATTTTGCATTTCATACTTAGATGGCATGGTAAGAGACTGAAGTGTTCTCTATTTAAAATTAGTGCCTTACATTATTTGATAGTCATCTTGAAAGAAAGGGTGTTCTCATTTCTTTTCATATCTACTTCCTAGGTCTTCTAGCTTCATCATTCTCTGTATCTAATCCATCAGTAAATCCTATGATATCTTCCTATAAAAATCACTTTTTTACTTCCCATCTTGGTGCAAACCCAGCTTTGTCCTTTCACATCAGCCTTCTCAGTCTATTTCTATTCATTTGTGTTTCCCTCTGGCCCACTGAAGTGCTCTTCCAGTGACCCCACCCAAAACACCCACCCAAAAAAGACAAGACCAGATATGGACTCCAAGGAACATCTCAAACATCATAATTCTAGATGTCTCAATTCCAGTGCAAAGTTGCAACATGAAGCCAAGCAAGAATGGCACATGCTTCTAATCCTATCACTCAGGAGACAAAGATGGGAGTTTGAGGCCAGCTTGGTCTACAGAGTGAGTTCCAAGATATCTAGGGCTATACAGAAAAACTTTGTCTTGCCTCAGGCATTGGTGGCACATGCCTTTAATCCCAGCACTCAGGATGCAGAGACAGGCAGATCTCTGTGATTTTGAGGCAGCCTGGTCTACAGAGCTAGCTCCAAGACAGGCTCAAAAGCAATAAAAAGAAACCCTGTCTAAAAAACAAACAAACAAAAAGAAAGAAAGGAAAGAAAGGAAAAAGAAAGAAAGAAAGAAAGAAAAAGAAAGAAAGAAGGAAAAGAAAAGAGAAACCTTGTCTTGGAAAAAGAAATTGAAATAGGAACAGTCATGAAAATATGCCTCCACCAAAATCCAATATCCTTACTGCAGAAGGCACTGTAGAATGTAATATAGCGGAAGCACAAGACAAGGACTTCAAATTTGCAATTATGAACATGTTCAAGGACATTAAAGAGGATATGAATGAATCATTTAATGAAGCCCATGGGGGAAAACAGTTGAAGGAAATAATGAAAGTGATACAACAAATGATAGTAGAATTTAACAAAATAGAATAATTAAAGGAAATTCAAACTGAAATAAAACCGGAAATGGAAAATTTAGGATGACACACAGAAATCCCAGAAGACTCATCCAAAGATTATATGGCATAGGGGAGAGAATCTATACCCTTATAACATATAAAACATACCTTAGCCTACTGCACTTCAATGTTTGATTTCTCTCTATATATGTTTCTTTTAAAATAGAGTCACCTTACATAGAAAAGGCTGACCTTGAGCTCACTATGTAGCAGAAGCTGGAATCAAATTTGATATCTTTCTGTCTCTGTCTCCACAGTTCTTGGAATACATGCATTAATCACCAAGTTTAGCCACACTGACCTTTCATTGATTCTTGAGCAAGCTATATTTATTCTCACGTTAAAGTATTTTCAATCACTTAGCACTTTCTGCTCAGAAATCTTTACATCATTCCATTTAGAGCTCAGATTATGGATCACAATTTTCAGAGAGTTTTTCTCTTGGGCACGTTTCTTTAAAATAACATTATCATCATTTTATCCTATCACTGCCTCTTGTTTTACAACCTGCATCAGTATCTGAATTTATTTATGTATATTAAAAATTTTCTGTCAGTAAACCTTCTATCTAGGACACATATGATGGTGCAATGTCTGAAATCCTAGCACTTAGGAGGCAGAGACAATATAATCAATCATAAGTTCAACAATAGTCTGGGATACACAGCAAGTTTCAACACAGCTGTATAGCAAGATCGTGTATCAAAACACAAAAGTTCACATAGGCAAAAAGATAGTTATGTATTGTTTGAAGTGTGTCTCTGTCTTGCCCATTTTCACTGGACCACTTTTTCTCCTGCCTGTGGAACCCGTAGCCAATATTAAATGGTAATTGCTTGGCCAATGGCTCAGGCTGCTTACTGACAAGCTCTACATGTAAGTTATCCCATTTCTATTTATTATGTGTGTTGCCATGAGGCTGATGTTTACTGGTAATCATCCAGCATATTACTCCTTCAGCAGCTACGTGACTTCTCCCTGTCTTCACCTTCCTTTTCTCTGCATCTTTCCTTGGATTTTCCCCTAGCTATATTTTTCCAGTCCATTGGTTAAAACAGCTTTATTCATCAACCAATGAAAGCAACAGCAAACAGAAGGATATCCCATATCAGTCATACATCTTATTTAATTCCTTATCACAATCTTAACAGTAAAAAATGTTCAATTAATAGGGGTTTAATGACTAAATGGAGTGATTTATGCACATTGCTCCAAAGCTAGGCTAGTAAGGTGTTTTAGAAGGCCCTGACACTTACTGCCAAGCCTGATAGCCTGAGTTTGTTTGTGGACCTCACTCGATAAAAGGAGGAAACCAACTCCACAAAGTTGTCATCTTACTTCCATTCATGTGCTGAGGCATGCATATCCCATAAATTAATTAATTAAATTAAAATTGAAATATCAAAGTTATGTTACAGGTCAGGACCTAATATTCTTTTAAAAAATGGTCTGATAACCACTTGATGCTATGGAAGCAAGTAGAAAGTATTCAGGAAGAGTCATATTATATTACATAAATTTTCTCATATCAATTCTGATTTTTAAGCCAATTCTTTTTCAGGTTCATAATATTGAACATCACAATATTAACACTCCAAATCATTGTTACAACTAAAACATCACCACAGTTATAACTACATTTTACCATACTATATCAAGTGAAGAAACAAATCATTGGTAACAACTTTCTCTAGTCAAGGTTTTGCTTCTTGATGTCTATAGTGATCTTTTCACCTTTGTCTCATTTCATTGTATGTCAATAGCTACTCATCCTTAAAAGACCAGTCAGAGACTACAGGTATAAAATCTCAATAAGAGTGTCTACTTTCTTAGAAAAATCTTCACTCTGTAATTCTGGAAAACTTCATCAAAGTTCCTTCCATGCCATAGTTCTTATCAGATAGCGCCATTATGAACTTGATAGTAGCTACATACTTATTCCCTTTTCCCACTATCTTTAAACTGTCTAATTCATCCTCATATCACCAGCAAATAAGACAAGAAGTGAAAGAAACCAGATATTACCTGAAAAAGTTTAATAGAAAATAAAAAAGAGGGAGTGGGGAATTAAAAAGAGGAAAAAGAT